TTTGCTGTTTCTACAAGAATTCAGGGTTAGGAATATATTTTCTTTTTCTTCTCCTTGAACAGATAGTTGAGGAATCTTGGAACCAATACATTCCTATTTATTGAAGACTTGAAAGAGAAGTCTTCTCAAGAAGATTTTAAAAGGAAGATTCTAAAGAGATTTTTTTAAAAAGCAACATTTCCATCTCATGTGATTCCATAATTTGCATCCAAACTTAGAATTACATTCCACTGAAATCAAAAGATTGAATCTTTTGAAATTAAGTTTGTGGCAAGAGTTTTCTTAGGCTTAAACCAACTTTTAGATGTGGTCAAATAAGACTTTCCCAGCAATTGACTAATCCTATGTTGTTGAACCCAGCAGGCACAAGAGGTCTGGAATTACAATTCCTATCATCTTCACTTTCTTGATCATAATAATGAGGGTTATAGTCCAATGCATCTGGAAGGTAGAACTAATCAATATCACAGAATCTGATGCTGCTGTGTGTAGTATTCCTGTTGATCACTTGATTGGTGAGAACACTGGTTTTTTTCCATCCCCTTCACTTCCTCTCCTGATTTTCCAGAGGGAGTCTTCTCCGCTTTCCCCCAACATACTGGGTATGTTCAGTCCTCCCTTTTGGGTCATGCCGCAGTGCATTTTTCTTTTCTTTTCCTGTTGATAACTATTGACTGTTCATGGATGTTTTCATTTTAGCTGCATAAGAAAATCAGAGAATTGAAATCATGTTTAATATATATGATGCCTGACTGTGCATCAGGGAGTTTAGAAAGAGGGACTTTAGAATCATGACTGTAGAAGGCAGGGAACAGAATAGGCAACAGGATGAAAAACAGAAGGACATGTAAGTAAAGAAGAGGGGGAACAGTTGTAGAAGGGTGGGCAGAATAAACATGGGGGCTTAATAAAGAAGAAGACAGTGAAGTAAGAAAAGAGGAATAACAAATACAAACTAAAGGAAATCAAAGAACAGAATGCCAAAAAGAGAGAAAATGAAAGATAGAGTCCCTTGAGTTGGACTTGAGTGTTTGTATGATGCAGTCATGTAATTTTCTTGATAGCGGTATGATATAATTTGCTATTGCCTTCTTCTGAATTTTGTCTGGTTTGTTTGTTTGATTGTTAATTTTCCAGCCTAGCCTAAAGTCCTGGCCTTTCTAGAAGTCTCCCATTCAAGTTCTAACTTGGTTGGACCCTACTTAGCTTTTTGAGATCAGTCATTAGTTGTACATTGTACATATTATGTTTATATAGTGCAATTCTTTCATCATGAAGTCCAAGACAGGATATATATGCCAGTGACCACACTTGATCTTTGAGTAGAAAGCAACAGGTGGATGTGGTCAGGACAGAGGAGCACGTGGGGCTAGAGCAAAAGCAAAAACTTGAATTTAAATTATATGTTAAATCAATTAGTTAAATTAATAAGATTACTTTCATGCATATATATAGTAATTTCTGCCTACAATTCAGTTGCAACATTTGGAAGGATTCTGAGGGCCACATCCAAGATACTGGGAGGCAGTACTGCATACATATGGGGCCCATCAAACATTAAGAACATCCAGATTTCTCAAAAGCCTCCTGTGGGAACCTAGATTTTAAGACAGATCCTGATGGCTCTTCTTTCAAAAGTACATACATATAATACGTAATTCCAATAGATAATGAACAATTTGTTTTATCTAAATCTGCTCTGGCTCATATCCCTGTTAGATTTTGCCAGGCACTGCCTGCCAATGAATTCAAAGAGACTGGATTGTTCTTGTGCCATGCATATAACACCTATCTCTTTCATGACTTTTGGGCCAAAACATTTTCCTACACCTGAATTAAGGTAGTATTTCCTCATCTTTATCCACAGAAGCTGGCCAAATAATCATCATCTCACCTTAAACTTGCCAATGGCTACCACACCTTAAGAGCTGCAATCTAGAGGGTTCAAGCAAAGTGCATATTCAGCTTCATTCTCCCAAAATCTTATTCAGTCCCAACATTTGCTGCCTTGGGCAACTGTCTCCCTCTGCCTAATCACAGAGCAAAACATATGCATATTCAGCTGGAAATTGGACTAGATTTGGACTTTTCAGGATTGCAAATACAAGGTATTAAAACTGGTTTGCTTGAAGCAGTTAACAAAAGATACTGTACTGACCAATTCCAAAGTTATCAAATTTCTCTTGGAAATCACAGCCTAATTGTTGGATAAGGTTTGTTTTGGTCCTAGCTTCTTGTTGCAGCTAATATACAACCTTCCTTAATCCTCCCAAAGAATAACAATTGTTTCAGGACATGTAAATCCTTCTCTGTTTTGTTTTCTTTCCTTTCATATTTTGGTGAAATAAAATGAGGATAGGCCTAGAATGAAAACTGAGTATATGCTGTGTGCCTGTACATCATTCTTCCCCTCCCTAGTTACCATCATTACTATTAGTCTCTAGAAAACACCAGATTAGGATTTTCCTAAAATATAATGGATTCCAGCAGGGTCCTTGAGATGGTCACTGAGGTAGTTGGTAAAGGGTAGCTCAACGGTATAACACTGAGGTGATAGGATTAAGAAGAAGTATGTCCAGAATTCGGATATAAGCATGCACCAGTATGCATCTGGGATCCCTGAAATGGGGGAAGGCAATCGTCTGCTGCTGATTAATGCATTTGGAACTTCAAAATCATGTTGTAGATATGCTGGTTGCCATGACTGCCTTGCTTATTTGAGTGATTGCTGTGCGGGTGTGTCTAATGACAAAACATACATTTCCTAGGAAGGCTTCCTTGCTTGCTTTCTTAAATTTATATGCCGCCCATCTCCCTCAGTATAGGAGGACAGCTGTACTAGTCCATGGTGCATCAATAAATAAATAAATCAGGATTTATTAATTGAAAAAGGTGCTACCAGATCCCTTCTGATTTTTCGGGAAACAAATTGAAAGCATTCTTTCTTTCTACTGCCCGCTCCCCAGGACACTCTCCGTTATCACCCTCTCAGCTCACCTCTTTCTGGGTAGGAGAGCATATTTCCAACCATGCATGGACTAAGCCAACCCACCCATTTTTATTCTCTAAGGATGATGATGGAATCTGGGTGGAGCTCAGATGAGAGGTTGTCACGTTACTTTGCATTTGGCCAGCTGGACAAGTAGTTATTTGACTAAGACCATCCTAACAATAAATAAAGTCAGGAATTAGGTGGAACAAGGAGCCTAGTGGGATCCAAGAAAACCATTGGGCTTGAGGCACACATTTGGAAAACTTCAGCAAGTTCTCAGATTTTATTTCTGCTCTCCTGCAAATGGTCCTTTTGTGCCACCTTGTAGGCAGGGTCCTCTCTGGAGCCTTTTCTCCTGAGCCAGAGATATCTGTGGTCCTGCTATCCTAAGGCCAGACCCCAGATAGGACACCAAAGTGCCTCTCCAGAGTTTTCCAGGGTCTCATGTGTTTCCAATCCTGGCAAGCTATTGTTGTTGTTGTTGTCGTCGTCATCATCATCATCATCATCATCATCATCATCATCTTTAGGCAATAGATTCTGGAGTTTCCTCCACAAGAAAGTAGCCTTTTCTTCTTCCTTTCAGAATCTACATCTTTGTTTTA